ATAAAAGTGTCCCGATTCTAACATCCGTCATTAAAGGAATGTATAAAAATAAGACGTGTGTTCTGATTAATCTAAAAATCAGACTTGTACAGAACATTTTAAGCTTTGTGTAGTACATCTCACTCTTTTTTGGAGATTCTTTTCCTTACTTGTCTGCTAAACATGCTCAAATTCACCTAAAAGCTAAAACAGTGCTGCTTTATGATACCTAAAAAAATACTACAATAAATTTTAGAATATAAAAATGTAAATCTTTCATTAGCCCCTCCGTAAGGTCTAAAATAATGTTTAAATATCACAATTAATAGTAAACAGGATTGAATGCACCACCTCGATCTTCAAGAAATCAACAAACTCATTTCACACAGATTTGTGTGTGAAATGTGTGTTTGCCTCTCGTTATGCTTCCCTTTTTAGAGCTGGTGGAAGCCGTGCACTTTTCTCCAGAATACTGTGTCTCTGTGGGGTGCACTTGGATGGAGGGGTAAGGTAAATAGCTGCCGAAGAGGACAGTAACACAGAACACTGTTGTAATAATACGCACGCACGCAGACACACATAAATACAAGTCCCACGCTTCTCCACGTTGTGTTTTTTAACACTTCTGTACAAAACAATGTCCGCCCAGGAGTCCATTTTCTCCTTTCACCTCAGTTCACACCATAGTCTCTTTTCTCTTCCCTAAAGAACACAGAGACTTCTTGTCCTTTTTGGTTTTGTGTACTGTGGGTGAGGAGAGCGGCGACGTCGATGAAGAAGATGATGTCGTTGACAAAGAGGATGAGGAGGAACGGGATGAAGGGGACGTCGTGGTGGGGCTGGGGGTTGTGCTGTTGCACGGCGAGCTGGGGGCGGACTGAGAGGTCGGCTGTGGGCAGTTCTCATCTGCTTCCTCCATGTGGACGATGGCGGAGACAGAGGAAGGACGGCGCTTGGAGCGGGCGTCGCTTGCAGGTGGGGAGGGCGTGGAGGGCTCGCTGAGGGGCCGGTGGACGGAGATGGCGCTGCGAAGGCAGTTGAGCCACTGCTGCTTGTGGAAAACGTCGTTGACCTGCAGTGTGTGGGACTGTGCCTGGCTCGGGTCATGGGAGCGCACGCGGAAAATGTTCTTGGCTGCGGAGAAAGCAGAAGTAGAATTAGCAAACTGATGTTTTTGACATCAAACTGTATTCCTACATTAACCACAAGAAACTTTTTGACTTTGACAAGAGCCTCACCTTTGTCTGCGTTGCTGAAAGCACCTCTGAAGGAGCCGCCCATTCTGACGTCTCCATCCTGCAGGTCCTCAAGCACGAGGTCCTGCACTGGGATCGGCTGCCGGTAAACCTGGAAACAGTGGCGCTCATTCCTGGTGACGGGGCGGGTCAGAACCAGCAGCTCAGTGAACAGAAACACGTGCAGCTTCTGAAAAGACATAAACAGACAACAAAGATTAAAACCAGAGCGCTCATATTTCACATAATCACCAACAAAGTTTTCTGGAAGATGTTCGTACTCGGTTAAATCATAAATTGGTTGGGGTGCAGCAGAGCTGCCAGTTATAGCCTGTTTGCCTTATATGGGATGTGAGGCTTGTGTTGATGAGTGAGGAGGCAGTCAGAGGAGCAATGTGTGTGTTTTGCTCACCGTGCCGCTCTTGTTGCGTAGCTCCCCGTGACACAGCAGACTCTTGCACTGCTCGATGCGAGGGTCCCTCTGCCTGTCGTCCAGATACTCCAACTTGTCAATGTAGTACTGGCACTCAGACTCTCCCTTTTTCATGTTGATGTCAGACAGCACGCCCTGGATGACAGTGATCTGAACACACGAGGAATCGAAATATTAACTTCAGCCACGTTTTAAGATAACCAAGAGATAATAAATGAATGTGTGTCCTCGGCTTACCGCTTCCTCCAGGCTGGCGGAGTCTGGGTGCTCTGGTGGAGTGTGTTTCAGGATCTCTTTGAGCAGCAATGGGTACTTGACCAGGCGAGAGCGTGGGATGTCCAGGAAGCTCCACAGGTCCAGCTTCCGGCTGAAGGGCGACTCGAGGCAGCGCTGCAGGAAGTCCTGCACCCGTGGGTCCAGCTTCTTCTGGTCCAGCAGTGCCTTAGCTGCCAGCTGGTTGCTGCAGTAGTCCTTGTAGGCGTTAAGCCTTGGCAGCTGGAGGGGAGGTGGAACACCGTTACTAATGCTGCCTTTCTTACTGGAAACCCAGTTGAGTTTTAATGAAAAGAGGTTGAGGTAAATTGGTGTTGTGACACTTACCCAGCTTACGACAATCTGTCCGATCTGGCCCACGGTCCCATCTGGCCCTGTGGCTTTTGAGAGCTGCGCAAGGAGGTCTTCATGTAGAGGGATGTAGGCGTCCAGGTTTCCAAATATGTGAGTAAGCTCCTCCTCTGACATAATGGAGAGCTTCAGCATTGGGTCATGGTACGCCTGTGTACAGCAACAGAGCCAACAGTCAAATAACAACATCCCTTCAGGCCCAGCAGGGGTGGATGCTAAGAATAGCTCTTGAAGAGCTTTAGGGGTACAAGAGAAAGACAGAGGAATAATTCCTGTCTTTTTATAGTTTCTGGCTTGGCTATGTAGAAGGCCTGCCAGACTTTGATTTAATCTGTTTGCTTTATACAGTATGTACTCCCCCTGCCTCAGAGATTTAAAAGTACAAACCTTGCGTGCGAGCTGGAGGTCCTCGATCAGATCCTGTTCTCCACGAGACAGCTCAAATATGGCCTGAGGAGAGGGAGGAGGCACAAAAAGATACTTTTTTTTAGGAAAACACATGAATCAGGATGTCATTACATTATTGCAAACTACAGCCATTAGACTAAATCCTAAACTGGGCTGGTGCCAAAGGGCTGAGGTAAACTTTGAAATCTACCTAGCTCTCTGTGTTTTAAACTGTACAAAGTTTATGCCTTCTGACAGTTGGCTAAGAGGTCTGACATATGCGGGGCAAGTGGGGAGGTAGGGCAGCAGAGCGCTGGTTTGTTGGCTTGTCAGGTATATGTGAGCTTACACAGACTGGGAAATGATCCCTGGGTGGCTTTAAGCCCCATTTAGACTATTTGACAAAAATACTACAGGAATATGTGAAACTAGTCTGGTAGACAGGCATAATTCACCACTGTCTGGATTTCTGTCTTAGCACACTCATTCATCTACAACTACACTTTGTCTCTTGGTGTCCTAACTATTTTTTGCCATTTCTACTGTATTTTCATGTCTCAGTGCTGATTCTCACCTCCTGCCGCTTGATCTCTTTGGTGGAGAAAGTCCCTTTCTGGTGGATGTCTAGAGTCTCCGACCACAACGTGCTGTTCCTCCTTTTGGGCGGTGTGGGGGCCGCCGCCTTGCTGCAAGGCTTCTGGGGCACGCCCGGCGACTTGCCATCGCCCCGGAAGGAGGCCTGCAGATGGGAAGGAGGAAGCCCCAGATGTAAGACATGTTGCAACTGGAAAGCGGGTTGTGCAGTGTCCCTCGACCTGAGGAGTTCCCGTTTTTGCGGGATGTCACAGGGAGCTTACCTGGATGGTTTGGCCGAAGCGCCGGACGGCCCCATTCTTCACCGGAGAGATGAGGTTGGCTAGCGACGTCACCCTGCCGAGAGGACGGACACGCTTGTTGCTGGGTTCCTGAAGAAGCAAGAGAAAAACAGAAGGAGGGGATTAGTCAGGCAATTTTATCACAGCTACTGTCAAAGGAAAGTCTTCAGCAACACGGAACAAATCGATCAGTAACGCCAACTGTGACTGAGACCTCAGCAGTGAGTCCAGGCGCTCCCTTGTGACTTCCTTGTGATAAAACACATCAAGTCAAGTCATAAATCCTCATTATTGACTCTACTCCCTGCTTTGGGGCGAGGGAATAGGAGTAGCCAGAGCCGAGGTCGAGCTGCAGACAGACTGGCGGACCGGCGGACAGACAGAGATACTGAGGAAGAGGAAGCAGCTCCAGCAGCTCCAGCAGCTGTTGGCTCCATCATGTGAAGAGTCTTGAGCCAGGCCAGCCCACTGAGCACAAAGACCCTCTCTGACTGCTGATCTGGAGGGGAAGGGGGTCTGGAAGAATGCCAGGAATGCACGAGACCCTGCTCTCAGCTGTTTAACACCCCTCCCCATGCACACACTCTGCTACTATCAGGCCTGACAACGGCTACAAGCCCACTTGAGAGTGGATCTGTAACATCACTCAAACAGTGTGAGATAAATGCTTCCTGATTGCTTCAGCTCTTTAACTGCCTTTCCCAGAGAGACAACACAGTAAGGACAGTGTGGCAGTGTGTCAGGACTGTTCAGCAAAAACAGACCACCACTGTGAGTCGGGGGAAGGAGCAGGAGTCGTAAACAGGCAGTGAATATGTCCCCTCTCAAGTGTTTACACAGTGCGGCGTGGCAGGGGGGCGCACAGCGGTGGTTATGGCTGCAAGTCGAGGCAGGCTCTTCAATAGTCCTCGCGTGAGAGCAGCACTACACCTGGGCCAGGTGAGCCCCCCCCCTCCTCTCTCTACCTCCCCTCACCCAGCCTCGAGGCTGGTAGAAAGCAGAGACCTGCTTTGGCCTTACGCCAACAACAACAGGCCGCAGAAATCAAAGAGCTGAAGATCTGAAGTAATGATTTCAGCCCGCAGAGCTTCTTCAAAAACATGACACCATCAGACAACCACAGTCATAATTAGCATTTCCAAAGTTTGTGCTCTCCACAAAACATATTTCATTTCAAGGACTTCACCCTAATGAGAATGTTAAAAACCAGCACCGCACTGCTAAAAAGCTGCTTGTGTTTTCTCCTGACTCAGGCCAAATGGGATTTTGCCTTGGCTCAGCGGATCTGGGAAACAGAGCAGCCATTGAGGCTCCGGGCCCTGCGGACACAGCTGTGGAACAGATCCGCTCAGTCTGGCGTGGCCTGTGAGCTGCGGTGGAGTCACGGTCTGCTGTGGTAAGGGTCTCCACATTGGACCAGGACAGCCAGACAGCCAGACAGCCTTGAGAACTTAGAAAGCCCTCTAGTGGCAGAGGGCAGCAAAGTGATGCCACATGTCAACTGCTTTGATTGTGGTCTACATACAAAGACTGAATTTTTTTTTTGACTCGTCTGTTGGGGCTAGACTGGCCTGGCTCTTTTCTACTGCCAGTAGACAAAGAAAATAAAGTAAAAGCAAAAGTCACAGGAGGGTGGGGTTTTTTCAAAGCGATACCGGTAACCTATGATGGCAATTGTGCCCTTCCTGTCCTTTGGAAACTGGCCTCAGTATAACAAAAAGCCCCTAGTCCCACTCTTTGTGCATCAGCTGGAGAGTGAAATAGTGCAGACAGATGGGGAAGTTGCTATTCCTAGCAGTGTGACCCAGGAACCCTGTGGACCTACGGCAAGTCTGGCTCACTTCAGGAAATCACATGGATCCGGGGTTTGTGCTGCTGCTTTGGATAACTATTATGAGTGGAACAATGACCCTCCAGACATGTATATAGTAACATGTGCGGTGAAACTCCTAACCTAAGATTACAACCTCATAAACATCAGGAGCTTTTTTTAGGGATCCCAAAAGCTCTCTTCCTGTGCTTTCCCTTTGATGCAGCCTTGTGTGTGCTGTGAGCTAATACTCCCAGATGTGTCCCTGTGATTACACCACAGCTTGAGCTGATAGGGCACTGGGAACAGAACAGCCAGACCATAAATGAAAGACTCGAGGTCAGCAATAAGTCAGCACTGGACGAAAAAACACATGTAAGGCTGAAACGATGACTCAATTGCGCGAGAATGGGACTCACTTCATGAATTGTCCCTGGACTTCTCCTTTATCAAGTGGTTTACAGTCAATGAAACCACATCTTCCTGAAATCTCTTCCGAAAGAGAAGCCTCAAAAGGGGAAGAGGGGAAGGAAGGGTGGTCGCTTTGATAAGTACAGAGAGCACACTTAGGTTTCAACGCCGGTGTCCCTTTAATTGTGCAGCTGAAGGAATGCTCTGCATTTGCATAAAAAATACTTCGGTCTGACTTGAAATGTCAGAGGTCAAAAGAAAAGTAATCTTAGACATGTCTGAACTAAAAGGATGCAGGGTTGCTGACTGAGATTACCCCCTGCTGTGTCACTGTTTGTGGTTCTTTGAGTCTACCAACTATCCTGATCTCTCCATATCCCACCGTGGCTGAGCTGCCTGCTGGGATGCATATTTAAGAACAGACAGGGAATACACAACACTAAGGGGGGTCAGTACACTGCAGCTATGACTGTACCATAGGTGCAGTGCGATCCAATGATTAACTTTTCCAGGTTAGGCAGTATCTTGAGCATTGTTTTTAGTGGCCAGGCACAAAGTTCAAAGTCTCATCTTACAGGCACTGGGTAATTGAGAGCACACACTAACACTGTGTGCTCAAGTGAGATAAAAACAGGGTTAGGCGCTGATTCACTCACAGTCTGACACAAAGATAGGAGTTCCGGGCAAACATTTACTGAAAGGCACAGGTAACAGCTTAACAAAGCAGAAATATAACCATCATGAATGATTTTGCATCTCACCTCTGACTCTTTGTTGGCTTGGTTCTGGTTGTCTATCACTTGCAAAGTCCGTTTGATAGGCACCAAGCTACCCAGTTCATCGTAAGCCACCATAGCTTTCAGTAAAAACACAATATCCTTTTTTTTAATCCTGGCGAGTCAGCTCCAAGTAATCCACATCAGAGAAAAAAAATAGTTGATGAAAATGAAGGGTTGTGTGAGAGTAAAAAAGGCTGAATAAATAAATACACCTTCCCCCCTATGCTTCTTCTTCCCTCATGGGACGGGGCTCTCTGAATGCTCCCCTCACACACTCTTTCTAAACTTTGGTCTGAGGTAGTCTGAGGGAGGGAGGGCTTTATACTGGGAGGCGAGACGGGGGAGGAGCAAGACTCCGCTCAGGCGGTTTCGGGTTTACTTGGAAGTGCCCGCAGGCTATGTTGACCCCATCCACTGACTGAAAACAGTAGTAAGAATTTTTAAGATCATGTGTACCGCTTACTGCTAAGCAGAGTTAACAAACACAACTCTGATGAGGGCAAATAAAGTTTGAAGAAGACTAAACCTTGTCTAACAGAAAGTGGGTTTATCTCAGGGTACTGGCTTAAGGTCTGCATTAAAGCATGGATAATACATTTTGGAGTCATGTACAAAATTTGATAGTTGAGGGTCAAAACGGTAAGATACATTAAGAACCTTTCAGCAGATATTTCTTCTAATTTCTTTTTTTTACATAAACACACGGCAGAAAAATGACTACTGATGCTGCAGTTAAACAATGAGCTTTATTATCAAAGGCAATAGTATATAAAATAGCACATTTTCAACAGTAAACCAACTATTAGAGCTGGAGCTAATAGTTGTACAACAGACAATTAACTGGCAACAATGTTTATGATCATTTCAGTCATTTATCAAAAGCTTTTTTGGTTTAGCTTCTCCAATGTGAGGATTTACTTCTTTTCTCAGTTGTATAGCTTTAGAAATTGAATATATTTGGGTTTTGGACTGTAGATTAAACACAAATGAGCAATCAAGCCTGAAGATTAACATTTTATAGTTTAATAGATGAACAAAAAAAATAGATAAATTAATAATAATAAATATGATTTTTGTGCAGCATTACACCAAAACTTTTCTTGTGAGTAAGTTGATTTAAATAAAACTGCCAGGAAAGCTCAGAGACCAGTATATACACAGACACATATTACTACATTAGTGTTAAATTTATGCAGTCATGATGAAATAAAAGCCAAATGACCATTGCACATGCTCAGAGTGAGATTTAATGCTGCAATTTTTCAGATAAAACTAAAGTCATCATGCTAAATCACTGTTGCAGCTCCAACACAAAGAGGGACTATTTCGTCAACTTCTACCAGGTCTCGTGGGTATCAGGTTCAAATGTTTGAAGCTAAATGACTAACCGTTTAATGTACTTTAATGAACAAACTACAAAGTAATTATTACTTGGTTATTTCTTCTTAGCTAATTAATCAAAGCGGTCTTTGCTTTGAGGAGCAATGCTCTCTGCTTCAAACAGAGCCGTTATCAGTGTCATCAGTTGAGCTGGGGGAGGTGATCAATTAGAATATCAATAGCAGGGGCACTGTGACACATTCAGCCAGATGTTTAAACTGAAACCTGTATATTGAATACCACTGGGGGCAGGGGGTAGGGTGCGACTGCAACCCATATGTTGATTGGTCTAATAAAGCAGAAAAGGGTTAACCAGTTTCAGTAAAGACAAAGAAGCTTTCAGAAATCCAACCTGTGGCTCTTTTTCATGCTTGTGCGTGCGCTCACAGGGGAGATTCACCAAGACAGGAGGGTGCACACATGGCTGAAGCCACGGATTCTACACACCCGTACAGCTGGTGTACAAATGCACAGAAAGAAGTGGAGGTGTTAGGTCTGATGGAGTGGCTAATGTGGAGGTGCTGCTAGGCAAGGTGTCGCAACATGAGTGTGCGAGTGTTTTGGGCAAATGGAGGAGCCGGTTCATGGCTTCATCCTCCTGGGTCAACACCGAGGTGTGAAACAGGACACGGGCTTCATGCTGCTGCTGTGTCTGTGTGTGTGTGTGTGTGCGTGAGACAAAACACAGATGCTAATCGAGGTGTATAGTTGTTGACACCTTGTTCTTTGGGTTTGTTGGTCATCTGACCAACAGGATGCTGAATCACCCATATGGCCCCCCAAAACAAAGTGGATTGGGATCACAAATCCAGTGACTTCATTGTCAGAACACAAACAGATTTGGGTTTCATGAGAGAAATAAGACAGCAGAGTGAAGAACTATGCAGTCTGAGGAGTCAGAGAGGATTTAATAAAACATGAATCTGTCTGTGTGTAGTCTGTGCGTGCCTTCAGAAGACACCGTACAGTCCTGCTGTTACTCACCCTGTATGGGGAGACCTCGGGCTGAATCAGCAGTACATCTGGCTCAGCTGCTATAAAAACTAAACACAACATGGCGTGGCCTGCCTGGCCTATTCGCCCTCTAGTCACACTCATCTGCAGCTGGAGCACTGCCGTGATTTACGCTGCAGAACACACACATACATGCCAGTCTGGGCTCAGAGTGGTGGAGGAGGATGAGTAATGCAGACGGCGAGTGGCGAAATTTCACCGCCGTCTAACCTATGCCGTGCCACGGACGGGCCGAGCCTCGAGGCCTGAGGGGCTGAGCTCAACTTAACCTCCACATCAGCAGCAGTGAGTACAGGACGTGCGCAGACTAATTACAGCTCTGGGGACGGCATTAAGCAGGCAGCTCCGGGCAAAGAAACACTGCTGAGAGCTGCTGACTGACTTAAAACAACAGGAGGGCGGTGCTGCTGCCCTCTGCTGATGGAGGTCAGCAGCAGCAGAAAACAGATGGAGCGGAGGTGTTGGACTGAACAGTTCATCTTCCTGTATAGCAACAACTGAGCTCTCAGATCAGTAAAAAAAACAAAAAACAAAACACCCATAATTTGACTTTCCTTTTATGTTTGAGTGAAAATAAATGTGGAAATCGGTGATAAAATTAAAAGAAAAATGGAACGTGTACCATTCCTGGCACCAACCATCTAAAGAAAACGTAAAAATAAAGCTTTGTCAATCACATAATGTTATATCTTTATTGGTGCATGACAGGACTGTTACAGAAAGAGCCTCAAAGCTTGCACAATATTTTGCAAGGCATTTTTGAATGCCTTGGTATTTCTGAAGAAAGAAGAGTGTGTACTATTCTCACACAGGTTGCATCAGCGGTACATTCTAAAGCTGTATTTTTCCACTGAAGCTCATTAATCCAGTCATCTTTCACAATCACATTTAAGGCCTAAAGGTGTTTTTAATAAAATAATATTTTTATACCCTGATCTGCCATGAGAAGAATCTCAACATAAAATTGCCTCTGTCACAGTGATTTGTGGTTTATTAAACAGATTTTATTATTTCTGATGCCCAAGCAATGATGGCTGAGTCAGTGCTGTTAATAAGGTGAAACAAGGCATGCATTTAATCTATTTTTGTGCATGTTTTACTTTGTGCTGCTTCTGCTTTTATGCTAGTTCAACTGTGACTAGAGCTGTGTTGTTAGTAAAGAAATTCAGTCACTTGTTTAGATGTGAAACCGACGTCAGTGCATTTCTATAAAGAGATGGACGTCTAAATGAAGCTCCTGTTAATTTGGGTTAAGATCTGATGACTGTGGGCTGTAACACATGGCATCAAAGCACTCAGTGAGCCTCTGTGCCATGTATGGAAGCATCTGCATTTGTTATGTTTCTCCAACTGGAATATTAAAAGAATGGGTTTTGATACTGGGGTTACGAAAAGGGAATCAAGACATTTTATTAGTCCGTAAAGTTTAAACGCACTGTCCCCAGAGGGTTTAGGAGAGTTTCTAAATCAACCCTCAGTTCAGGGTGTGACTGAGAGATCCTAACTCCTATTAATCTCAGAAGTTTCTGCTTTGAGGACAAGGAACTATAAATACTTCCACTCCTCTGTTGCTACAATCAAATAAAGATGAAGAGACAGAAGATGTAGACAGTGATCTAATCATACAACAGCCTGTAAAGACAATGAATAGTACAGTTCTCAAACCAGACTAACATCTTCCAGTTTTGTTTTTTAAGTGCTCACACACCCAGAGCAGCCCTTGTTGCTACAAAACACAGTGAGGTAACTAAGACTCACAGTGAAACTGCCAACGCTTTGTAGACAGAACTGATATACTGATAGAGCTTCCTTGAGCTGACAGACACAAAGATGAAAAACATCATTTGCCATGGTGGCACTGGCACAGACAAACAGTTTGTTCTGTAGTTAGTTAGAGTAAGTGCAAAGGGAGGCCTTGGAGCACAGTTGCCAGCAGATGATACACACAGCCTTATTTACATTAAAATCTATCTGTGTATCAGTGTTTCCAGCAAAGTGGAAAAAGCTTTCATTTTCAGGCTCTGAGATTTTCAGTGAATTCAGTGTAGAGTTACAGCTCAGGTGATGAGACTTAAAACAATGTGCGTAATTGACACTGAAGTTCTTATTATGTCAACATTCTTTTTCACAGTAAAAAGTCACACTACCATGATCTGGAGGCAGGACCAGGCTTGTGGTGGGCAGGGCAGAGCCTTATTATATCTACCAACTCTAGCCAAACCGCACAGTGAGCTGGATAGCCAGCTATGACACTTCCACAGTACAGTTGCGTGGAATCATAAAATATATTCTATGAGGTCTACTGTCAGATATTGTAGTAGCCATTATTCCATGGTAGTTATTGCTTCACTGTTCATCATTACATTGTGTAAGACCACTGTGGGCAACAATGTGACAAAGTAGTCTAAAGACTATAAAACCTAAATTTAATCAGCATCTTCTACCGTGATCAATTAATTGTTCCAGGCATAGTTCAAGCAAAAACACTAAACATTCTCCAGCTCAAGCCTCTCACATCTGAGGATTTGCTCCTTTTCTTTGTCATATATAGTTCACAAGGTTCCCACTGTTTTTAAGAAATCATTTCCAGGACCTTTCCAGGACATCTTCTTGAGTTTTCTTGACAATACAGGACAGCACTTGCTCAAAAATGGTCATATAATTTAGCAGTAGGCCTTGTATTGACACATTTAACACATTTATTCTTCTTTCATGAATGCATAAAAGATTGCTAAAAGTCAATAAATTCCC